GTTCTGTGACTTGTAAATGTGGGCTGGTGGACAGGGGATTTGCCTGAACCAGTGGCAAGAAGAAACACAAGAGGACCGAGGACGGGCCAGCTTCATTTATACTCACCTGCCATGCTGAGCTGACTTACTCCCACTTCCCAGGTGGATTTAGAAGAGACCTGGGGTCTAGCTATAAAGCAGTACTCCCTAGAACTAAGGCTACACTGCAAAGCAGACTCTTCCTATGCAGACCCTAAAAGCTGTCTGCGGTTTTTTAACTGCCTGCAGGAACCAGACTTCCTGTTTCTTCCTCACTGTGGGCATGCACCTCAGGTCCTCTCCATCCATCCGACACTGATGCCTATGCTTCTGCTGGCACCTCCAAGGAGCTCTTCTGAAGCCCTACCCTGGGGTGAGCCCCTCTGCTAGGACAGCCACTGGAGGCCGCTGGAGGCTCGAACATTTGGGGAGATCACACCACTTCCACGTGAGCTGCCTCACACTCCTGCACTGATCTGGCAGGCAGCATCCTGACGTGTCACCTTGGCACCCTGGCCTGGCCAGCTGTCACACCTGCCACCCAGCAGGAGTTAATGACATGGTATCAGTCAAGTTAGGCAAACTGGTGTTAGGACAGGCAAGGTTACTCCCAAGGTTACCGCCACGACTCACCACTGTACATGTCAGGGTGGTTTCTTAAGGACGAGTCATTATAGGGGTGGTCTGCAATAAACAAAAGAGGGTGAGCAAACGGAAGGCCACGGAGAAGTCATGGAGGCATACACGGGGAGAGAGAAACAGAAAAGCGAAGCTACAAAACAACCGAGGAGAGCGCCTGCGATGTGTGCAAAGGAAAACACGCGCACTTGGGAAGGGGACGTGTTTGGACAAGCAACACAAAACAGCTCACAAAGGAACAGAAAGGTTAAATCCTGCAAAAGAAGGCAAGAGTAAAATAAAGTTTTGTTTTTAATTAAAGAAATTAGGTTTGAACTTTGCTTGGTCCTACTATATTTCAAACAGATGAGATAAGGGTTAGTGGCATTCTGCAGCAGTCTCAGGACCAACTTCTTGTCTGAGTCCTCACTTCCCAGGACTCCGGATCAGGCCAGCTCTTGGGGCAGCTGAAGAAAAAGGCGTGTTAGTGAGCTCTGGGGAAAAGAGCCAAGTCCTGCCGGTGCAGAAGCTAAGTTGCAGCAGGAGGGAGGAGGTAAATGGGGGAAGAAGATAGTCATCAACAGGGAGGGTCGACAGAGGGACCCTGGCAATGCCTAGCAACAAGCACCCTCCTAATCTGGCCAGGTGGGCRCGCCATGGTCTCTGGGATTCCTCTGCTGGGGAGTGCTCCAGTGTGGCTGAGGTCCCAGCTCTTGGATTGAAAGGGGGGCTTGGGACAGGACAGGACAGTGAGGTTGGGAGTTCCAAGTTCTACACCGTGGGCTACACTACAGATTGGAGCTCTGTCAGTGCGTTGGGAATGAAGACATTTCTTAAGGAGCAAGATCAGTAGCTTTGGATGTAATGTGCGGTCATTAAAACCCTGAGGCCTTTAATCCTCAGTGAAAAGACATTTTGGAATAGGACAGACAAACACTCCTATGTCCCTAAGGAGCTTTTTACTTGCCATCACCCTCCATCCCCTTCCAGGATTCAAGTTTAGACAGTCCCAGCAGGGGGTGGGGGTGTGCCACTGACTGGAAGCTAAGCAGACAGCCCTGAGCAGCCCAGGACCCAGTCCAACCGCCTGGGGGAGGCCAGGTGCTGTGCCAAAACATTTGCATATTTGAAGACAGATCAAATCCCGTTACAACTCATTATAAGAGGGTCTGGGAGTTCTTTTCTAGGACTGGCATTGCATCCCCAATCTGCATAACACCTGGTAGGAAGATTTTCATTATTTGAACTATCTCTTAATATGGGCTTGGTGACAAAAGATCTAGCCCTCTTGGGAGATGGGCTTGGGTCTATCTGGAGCAGAAGGTGGAAAGGGATCTGCCATGGGATGGGATATCGGGGGTACCAGGATAGGTGGGAGCTGTGGTTGGTCTTGGGAGGGAACACTCCCTTCCTCTAGGGGGGAAATGATGGCACATACAGATGAAAAGGCCCCTTCTTTCATGATCCCATGCCACTGAGTAAAACTGCCAGCCTTTCTTTTTTCCAGAGGAGTGACCCACATTCACAAATGGCCTTATCGTTTGTGGCTTCTGCAGCACAGATGAGAGATTCAGAGAGACTTTCTGACTCCCCTAAGTCTGTCACTTAGACGTTAAGAGGGAGCTCGAATGCACTCTGTTGTCTGCCTCCGGGGGACTCTTCTCCCTCATCACGGTGCCTCTTAGATGCCTGTCACAGAGAGGGCAAAGAGGGACAGGTGTATCTTTGTTAGCTTGACTCCATGGCTATCTTTGACTGCATCCAAAAATAGATTAATTTTTTTTTTTAATTTTACTTTTGCAGTGTTGGAGAGCCTCCCACATGCTAGGCAAGTGCTCGGCCGCTAAGCTATGTCCTCAGACCTGGAGTTTTAGATAGACTAGCATTTTGTATTATATATCTTTCTTCCCTTCCTTTAATGCAACTAATACAAAAAAAAAAAAAAAAAAAGAGTGTGATGAGATTTATTTCTTTCCAAATGGGCAAACTGTGGGCAGACTGTTTTGCCTCCCACCCCCAGACCTGGTTTTGAAGGTACAAGAAAAAGCCTGTGTCCTTCCCAGACAGAAAAGTCGAGAGAGCTCAACTGTGCTATTTTAAGCAACTGTGCCAAATTCTGAGCTGGCTCAGATGCCCGGAACTTGTTTCTCGCCAAAGCTGCCCCAGGAGAACTCCAGGAAGCTGACATGGTTCTGTTCCAGTCACCTCGAGGGCTTCCCATCATTGGGAGGAAAGAGTTTTCAATGGAATGGGGGGCCCAGAGATGAAGCAGAAAGAAACATCCCTTACATCCTTGGGTAGAGAAAAGGGTATTTGTGGAAAGTTCCACTTCTAAATGTTGCTCAAACCTCTAAGTGCTTAATTTTACAGAGWGGAGTTCCTCGTCACTTTCATCTCCGACGGCAGAAGGCTCCTAACTCTGGCCCAGGAGCAGCAGGCTGACCTCCAGCCCTGCTGGGGCAAGGAGAAAAAGGAGGTGCAGGGTCAACTCAGAAAGTGATGTGCTCTTGATGGTTCTTCTCCTCCCCTGGCTCCTTCCATGACCAGCCCTGTTCTGGCTACTGAGATCACTCTGAGGTCCTGGGCAGACTGCACAGTGCTTCCCAGATCAGCCCCTGGTAGGTAGTTACCCAAGGCGCATTAAGAAGACACTGCAGATAAACCAACTTTCTTCTCCAGAGGGTGCCCCCGGGCCTGGATACGAAATGAGAAAGCAGGGGGCGGGGGAGCAAGCAGAGCAAAGCTGGGCCACCCTGCCAGGACCACGTGGGGCTGATTGCTGGGTCTCGGGCAGTTCTGTGGGCTGACACAGCACAGGCCATCAACGCCTTCTGGGAACAAAATGTGGGGACCCTGCAGAGGCAGGAGGCGATCAGAAGAGAGGAAATGGAATTCAAAGAAAAGGAAGAATGGGGTGGGGGTGGGAAGAAAGAGAGAGGAAGAGCAGAGAGGAACAATGTAAAAAGGAAAAAGGAAGAAATTGAGGAAAGAAAGGGAAAAAGAGGAGGAAAAAACAATTATGAGAAGCTGAAAAATGAAGCAGCTTGCTGACAGATCCCACACTCTGTCACGGTGGAAGTGGCTGTGTGATCAGACACCTGTCCCATCACCAGCAGGACTCATGAGGAAGGAAGAGTTCTCTGGGGTTAAGACCCTGCTTGCGCTGATGAGCCCACGCAAACCTTTCCCCAGGGGCACCCACCAAGCCTCAGCCTCTTCCTGGTGGGCTGCAGGAAGCCAACGTTCTCCCCTTTTCCTCCGACCTGTGGAACGTGCCAGCACTCTCAGTACTGGTGTTCTGGCCTCCCCACGAGCCTCGCCATCCACAGCCTCGCCAGCACCATTCACAGCATGAGTCCGACAAATCAAAACTCTCTTTTTGGGGGAGCTCTTCTGGGAAAGGCATGTGGCACACAGCCATGGTATAAACCAACCGAGTCAACTTCCAGTGTCCTGAGCAAGCTGGGGACTTTGTAGCAACAACTCCAGGCTGACTTGACCTTGTCATTCCTACTAAGCTTCTCCCGTCCCTGTGTTGGAGGGCCACCAGCATAACGGGACAGGAAATGCTGACTTGTTTTGTATCAGCCAAGCAGAATTATGGAATAAAAATGAAAACAAAGAAAGCTAAGACAAATCTGTAACTTGTAAACACAAGAGAATCCAAGTGGTTCGGTAAACACATATTACAGAATCAAACCATCTATAGTGGTGTTTCCACTTAATTTAATATCGTATACTCTGTATTTCTTCTAGAAATAAAGATAATCAAGCAATGAATAGAAATAAAAGAATAGGGGCTGGAGTTGTAGCTCAGTGGTAGAATGTTTGCCTTGTACGTACGTGTGAGGCACTGCGTTGGATTCCTGGCACCACATATAAATAAGCAAATAAAATAAAGGTCCATCAATAACTAAAATAATAATAATAATAATAATAATAATAATAATAATAATAATAATAACAGAAAAAGAAAAGAAACAAGCCAAGTGCGTCATAGGGATGCCTGACTATCACTCAAGCAGTCATTCTCAAACTCTGGGAGCATTGAATAACCTGGAGAGCTAAGGACTCAGAGGCCCGGGGCTGTCAAGGTAGGACAGATGCTCCTTGGTGTGTGATTCTATTTCCCAGCCAAGTTTGAGAAGCACTAGCTGGGAGTGGGGCCAAGTTTATTCAAGGCTTCAGAATCAAGAGACATTGTCTAAGGGTAGCTGCAGTCATTCAGGCACAAGGAGCAGAATGATTTCTAGGTCGGCCTTGGGGATGAGTCTCCCTCACAGACTCAGGTACCCGGGGCTGGTGGGCTCAGTGAGCTGCCTCCTCTGGCCCCAGTCCCAGCCCCAGGCGGGGCCTACACTTACTGGTGAGGACCTTGAGGGTGAAGGGATTCTTCTGCTGGATGGTGTGRGTGAAGTGGAAGCGGGCATTGCAGCTGTAGTCAGTCTGCATGTCCTGCAGCATCACGTTAGAGAAATACAGGTCCCCGTTGTGGCCCTGGGAGACGCGTTTGTCCTGGGTGATGGGCTCCATGGCTGTAAGGAAGCAGAGATGTGAGGCGAGGTTAGTAGTAATGATAACAGCAATAATGAGCAACACGGTTTGGACGACTGAGCATTACAGAAGGCCAGGTGACGGCCGGAAGCTTGACACTGCTCGGTCCAATCCTCTCACCTCTGAGGCAGGGCTTATTCCTGTAGAGGACTGAGAGTCTTGGGCTGCATGGCAGGGAGGGAAGAGCAGAARTTTAGACCCAGACCTGCCTGCCTACCATGCCCATACTCTATGGCCATGCTTCTCAAACTCYTGTTCATGCCACAAACGATTTGGCTGACCCCAAGGCCAGAGGGAGGGAACACAAGCCACTGGATGTCCTCAAATCAGGATTCAAATGCTCACACTAACAAAGAGCATTTGAGGGCAGGGACTACAACTCACTCATCTTTATGTCCCATCTTAGAACACAGTACACCAGGGCTCCATGGGTTGTGGAATTAAATAAAGTTGATCTTAGCTATGCTGTTTAATAAAAATTTAGCCATTTAGTCAATTATAATATACCTTTTTTAAAAAAATTTTTTACTCCTCAGAAAAAAAACAACTTCTGATTATAACTAAGATGTGTACCAACAGATATAGTCTCTTGATTTTAAGAGGTCTTCCAATTTTAGAGATGTTGAAATACAAAAATGTGTACTTTTTTGAATGAATGACATCAGAGAATTCAGCTCAGCATTCAGACTTGATTATCTATTTATCTATCTATCTATCTATCTATCTATCTATCTATCTATCTATCTATCTATCTATATTTTTGTGCTAGGGATTGAACCCAGGGCCTTGTGCATGTAAGGAAGCACTGTACCATACTGAGCTATATCCCCAGCCCATCTATATCTTTTTGATGCACTGACGTAAAAGCAAAAGACTAGGTTTCCAGGTGGTRAGATCTGTTAACATATACTTAAGGCTGATTATTCATAGCAAGCTCCTTCTTATCCCCACAATTGATTCGCAAGTCATCATGTCTTCAAGCACAAGGTCAAACTAGGCATGATGGTGCAGGCCTATAATCACAGAGACTCTGAAGACTGAAGCAGGAGAATCACAAGTTTGAAGTTAGCTTCAGTAACTTAGTGAGACCCTGTCTCCAAATAAAAAATAAAAARGGCTGAGGATGTGGCTCAGTGGTAGAGCACCCGTGGGTTCAATCCCCACTACCACACACAAAAAGCACAAGGTGATACCAACTTTTGCACAGTAGGATGGTGAGCTCCTTGAATTATTCCTTGGAGATTTGCTATAGGCCTACTATGTGTAGTTGCTGTGCTAGGTGCTGGTGAAAAAGAGAGAGGTCATCAATGAACCCTGAGTCTAACAGTTGGGACAGCAGGTAAATGAGTAATTGCTATGTAATGTGGTGAGTGGAACGTTTGGGGRCGGGGTGGTTAGGAGATGAACTGCAGAAAGGGCCAATCCCCTGCGGGTCTAGAGCTGCACCCTGAATGCTATGTGTCTTACACCAGGCAGAAAAGACACAGGAGCTTAGCGGTTTCCAAGTAGCAGGAAGAGAATGTGCTAAATGTTAAGAGGATACAGGAGCTTATCTGGAGGTTCAAGGGTACAAGGAGGAGGGTAGGAGAAGGGATAGCGAGGCAGAGGGACCAGGTCAGGGAGGGGACTGAGTGGCTGGGGAAAGGAGCCTGCACTCCTGAGGTGGCTTGAAGCATTTGAATGAAACCGTCTGTTTTAGAGTCTTAGGAAGATGAGGGAGGCCGATAAGGAGAAGTGTTGCAACCAGGTGACGGAAAGCTGATGGTGGTCTGGAAGAAATGCAGGCTGTGAGGTCTCCTCAGGAGGTGGCATGGACACAATCATGGTGAAGATCGTGACGTGGTGGATGAGGGAGGAGAGTCCGAAAAGGGAACGGACAAGCCGAACCACCCGCCTGCCCCAGGCAGCCTGCCCCCCATACCACACTGACATGAAGAGACAGGGACAGTGACTGAGCACAAGGTCATCCTCACCCCACAAAGAAACTTGCAATGCTGCTGCCTTGACATGGCAGCCTCTCCTGGCAACAGGCTGGTAGAATGTGAGATGGACCAATACTGATGATGGGCAAGCAGGATGGATATACGGATGGATTGATGGATGGATGCGGAAGGGAGGGATGGAAGGAGGGACAGAGGAGGCAGAGGGGTGGACAGGAAGACAGGGGGAGGGGAAGCCAGGGACATACACAGACATCAGTCCTCTATTCACTTCTATAATAACCCCTGGAGTTTTAAGTGAAAATGTGGGAAAAACAGGTCCAGAGAGGTGAAATGAGCCTCTGTCCAAAACTGAGCCAGAATCATCTCTGAGTTCTGTTACCCAGTTCACTAATACAAACACCCTATCTCCCCATCGCCCTTTTATCAAAGCCTTCATTTCCCCACTTTCCCTTCTACTGGAGGTGTGATTTGGAGTAAATCCACACTGACCAGATTGAAAGAGAAGACTTAGCATCATCTGCCTTCAGCTGCCTATTGATGTAACATGGACTGGGTATAGTGGCGCGTGCCTGTAATCCCAGGGACTCAGGAGGCTGAGGCAGGAGGATTGCAAGTTCGAGGCCCTAAGCAACTTAATAAGATCGAAAATAAAAAGGGCTGAGGATGTGACTCAGTGGTTAAGCACTCCTGGGTTCAATCCTTGGTACCATAAAAAATAAAGAAGAAGAAGAAACATGGGTTCTCCTCCTCGTTGTTCCTTTTTCTCTTGCTCTTCCTCACCTTCATCATCACCAGTATTACCAAGAACTTCCTGTGTGTTTGGCCTGGTTCTAGCACATTAGATGTGTTTATCCTCACCATGATCCCATCAGATAAGTATGATGCTAATCCTGATTTTTCTAGAAGAGGAAACTGAGGCCCAAAGATGTGAAGCGACTTGCTCAATGTCACAGAGTGATAGCAGCCGTGTTCTCAGCCATGTGGCAGCTCTGCCTCTGCCTCTCCCAAGTCCCGGGTCTCCAGCTTGGGCAAACCCTTCAATCCAACACCCCTACCGCACTCCCCAAGACACAGCAGGCTCCCGAGACTCACAGCTGCTCATCCAGAAGATGACTGGGGATGGCAGGCCAGGTGGGGGGTTGCACTGCAGCGTCAGCGGGGCGCCTTCTTGGACCACCACGGGGTCCAGGTTTTCCTTGGGCCACAGGGGAGATTCTGGGGAGAAAGACAAGGAGGGTGGAAGTGAGGCTGAGGGCTGGGGCTGGGACGGGCATGTGAGCAGGGGAAACTGGAGAATGAGGGAGGCCAGAGGGGGGATGGGGCCCTTAAGAGGAGGAGCGGCCTTTGGTCAGAGTGGACGCCCATCTTCAAATGTCTTCCCCTTTCCCCTCTTCCTATACAGAGTGGCCGGTCAAGTTGTGGCAGATTCTGGTATGGAAGCTTCCCTTCCAGGGAATCTTTCTGCACGGGGGGAGACCCATGGAGGGCACCCTCAAGGCCAAGGGCAGGGCAACCCTCTTTGAATGACCGTCCGTATTCCTTCCCTTCTACTCAAGAGCAGGCATGTGAGCCCCGCCCCATGGAACTCACTGGACACTTGCAGACGGATCCTGTTGGACAAGGCTGTGCCAAATTTGTTGCGGGCGAAGCACTGGTATTCGCCCTCGTACTCCTCAGGCCGCCCACCACTGCGGAAGTCGATCACCAGGGTCCCAGATCTCCTCCTCATGGACACCCGAGGGTCCTTGGCAATGTTGAAGAATCTGCTGTTTCGAGTCCAGTGGAAGCTGTGGACAGAGCGGGGGAGGCGGGCAAGGTGGATGGACCTGGCTGGGCTCCAGATGAACCCAGATCCCCGACTCAGGGCCAGACTTCCTGTCCCAGCACCCTCTGGGGAGCTCCTGAGAGTGCAAAGTCCCAAGACCCATACAGGTCTCTTCAGGGCAGGGCCTGGCGTTAGTGTTGTCACCGGGCCGAGGCTGGGAATCATGGTGGATGCTCAACTAGACTTTAGGGGATTCCGCTCTTTAATATATAATTGAGAAGTGGGTAGCAATTTTGATTTTTTAAAAATCCAGAGTCGGCTATTCCTTCCACCCAGGACATTCCTAACCTCCGACCAGGAATGCAAACTCAGGTTCACATTTTACCCAATGGGAGCTAGTGCTGCCCCTCCTGCCCTGAAATTGCATAATCCATTCTAAAGAAAAGGAAAATGGCTTAGCCCATCCGTGTCCGGCTCAGTGAGCACAGAGGAAGCACTGGCCACACCATGGTGCCCTGGAGGAGCAGCTTAATGACGCTGAGCGCTGGTGAAGAGCACTAGAAAGCCCCTCTGGGCCTGGGGAGGGGGCTTAGTGGTACAGTGCTTCTTGCCCGGGTGGTGTATGAGGCTGGAGTCATCTCTAGCACCGCAAAAAAAAAAAAAAAAAAGTGGGGGGGGGGAGGAAAAAAGTCCCTGTGCTTCTCCAGGCAGGACGTGCATGTCTGCTGAAGCTAGCACTCAGCTGCCCAGGTCAGAACCAGGAAAAGCAAGAGGAGAAACAGGAGCAGCAATGGCTGCTCCCTGTCCTCACAAAGACACCAAAGGGGAAAAGACCAAATCTCAGAGGCACGGTCACTAGAACCCTGGCTGCCCCTCTGGGAGAGGAAGTCCCTGCTGGTTCCGGGCTCAACACTCTGGATTAGACTGTCTCCTGTAAACCTAAGGACTGGAACAAGGTTGTCTGCCTGTCCTGCTGACCCCAGGTGGGCACTGTCATGCTGGGTCTGAGTCCTGCAGGAGCCTCCTGCTAGGTCCAGTCTGAGGATGCTAGTTTGATGAGGGGGATGGATAACTTCACAGCTGCTCCATCTCTAACCCTTATTGTTTGGCAGAAACAAATCTGGCCTTGGGGGTCAGAGGTATGGCCTTGGGGGTAGGAGGAATGAGTTTAAAACTGGGTCCTTCCCCTTTCAAGCAGGTATCCGTGAAAAATGTACTTAAAACCCTCTGCCCCTCTATTCTCTCTTCTTCGGGAGATATCAGTCCTGCCCAAGAGAAAGCCAGGAGGGTGAACAAGCCAACCTAAGTCACGACACCCAACAGAGGCTGGACAGAGCAGGCTTTTGACTTGTATCTTCTGACATTTCATTTGGTCCTAATGAGCACACTAGAGACAAGCTCAGCAGGAAAGTCTCCAGTTAGCCAGGAAGAGGAACTTCCCATAAGCTGAACACGGAGTGGGTGACAGTAACACAGGCAGTGGGTTGTTAGGATGAAAGCCAGAAAACTTAATATCTAGTCCTGGCTTTTCAGTGTGAATAGAGACAAGCCACTCAAATTTTTCTATTCCTTTTCCTCATCAAATTTAGTTACCTAAATTGTACTTTCCACCTAGTAGATACCCAGTGGATATTTTTTCAATGGATGAATGTAAGTTTTCAGCTGCCTCATTTGCCTTAAGTATTACCAGGCCCAGAGGCCAGGTGTGGTGTAAGCACAGTCKTTATAGTCCCCTTTCCATCCACTCACCTGGGGGCAGGGTTCCCCTTTGCTTCACACTCAATCAGGATGTTATCACGGGGGTCCACGATGTGGTCTTTCACTGACTGCTTGGTGATGGTTGGGGGCTGGGTCACTGCAACAAGGCACACAGTGGGTGGTCAGAGCTGCAGGGACCTGCCTGGGTCCTGGCTTGGGGAATGGCTTCAGGAGCCATGGGGCAAAAAGGCAAGCAGATGTGGAAAGGACCCTATTCTAGAGACCCCAATTCTACAGGAAAGGAGGTGATGTCAAAGGCTAAACACAGGAATCCTTTCAAAAAGATTCCATTGTTTCCCATCAAAAGTTGAAAACCCGGTTTTGGTTAGTGCAAAGAACAACGCGTCTTGATAAATGTGTTGAATGAAGACAGGAACAAAAGCGGCTACTTTGTTAGAATTCAGGGGTCACTGCAGCTGAGCCCTAAAGCTCAACCAATGGCCAAACCATGGTGAGGGGAATTTAGTCCCAGAAAGCTTCCCGGGGACTTGTCTGGGTGCCCATGAGCCAGATCCTCCACTCTAGGTCAGTTTTCTACCCGGGGTCCCATGACAGCCACTGCAGTCTGTAGGAGCAGCTCAACTTTCATTTAGGGACCCTCTTCTGACTACCTGTTCCTCTGCCTTACCTGGCAAAGGACGCTCCAGGTAAGCTCTTCCCTGCTGTGTGGTAAGGCACCTCCCTACAGGACTCTGGTTTCAGAAGTCCTGGCAGGACCAGTGGAGAGGCCTGTGACCCCAGGTGTCTCCTGACCTGGTCTTCTCCCGCCCCTCCGACCTCCCAGAGGCACAAGGGCCGAGGGACACACAGGGACTTACGCTCATTCTGAATGCTTGCTGTTAGTTCCGGTGGGTTAGCATTGTGAGGGGGAGAAAAGAAGAACATTGTTATCACACATGACAAACTGCCCAGCATTCAGGGAGACAGGTGATGAGGACTTGGGGACAGCATTGTGCCAMGGGGTTCTCTCCTCCCAAGCTACAGAGCTTGGCTGGAGGAGCCAAGCAGAGTGGGGARCAGACCCAGGGAGGCTTTGTAGAGAAGGCCATGCCTTCCCTGGGGGACCAGAACCACAGAGTGGAGCAGAAAGACCTGCTCCTGACCAGAGAAGTCCCCATATCCAGGAGTGACAATGCCGCTTGAAAGAGGCTCTGAAGATGCTTCCTGGCATTGAGAGAAGTGGATTCCTTGATCGACAGTGCCAAGGGGAGGCTGAAGGCAGGACAGAGGTRCCAGGAGAGGGATGGATCTGAATGACCGCCACAGGGCAAAGTCCTGGGTGGAAGCCCCAAGGGCCCGGCAAGATCCGAGGCCCCGCTGCTCCCCYTGGACCTTCTTCTCTTCCACACACAAAAGCACATTCTCTCTGCTCACTGTCTCCTCCTTTGGAAAACATAGGGACAGGTGGATTATTGCTGCCCTATTCCTGGCAGGTATACATGGCCACGTGAAACCCTGCTCCTGAATGAGAGGTTCTAGGCAAGGGGCAGAGCCTGCTGCTTCTTTCTGTGTTTTTCATAAAGAGGGTAAAGGGTCAGTGGCACAAGTACTGACCTGGAACGTGCCCATGCTCCTGCACAGGTATCTCCCACACAGGTGTGTGTACATGTATTTGAAGKCCAGCTCCTCAAACTTTAATACGTWTATGAATCTGCTGGGAGCTGGTTGAAATGCAGGTCTGATTGGGTTGGTCTGGGATAGGACCTGAATCCTTCATCTCTTTCTCTTTTTTCCTCCTCCTCCTCCTCCTCCTCTTCTTCCTCCTCCTCCTCCTCTTCCTTCTTTTTCTTTTTTTGGCATTCTGGGGATGCAACCCAGGGCCTCGTGCATGCTAGGTGAGAGCTCTACCACTGAGCCAAACCTGCAGTGTAGATTCTGCATTTCTGACCCATTGCCTAGGTGACACTGAGACTGGTGGTGTGCGGATCATGCTTTGGATAACAAGGCTTTAGATGGTGTGTTCTTTGTGGGGAGACACTCTTAGTTAAAATGTGTCTGGAGAAAAGTGAACATGTGCTACTGTCACTTTTCAAAATGTCCTTTCTTACGATGACATCAGAAAGCAGCATGACATTCTCATCTCATGGTGGGACATGTCACACACTGTGCGGGTGCTGCGTGCTGACTTTCAGAGCAGGTGCCTCCTGGGGGAGCAGGAAGCTGTGGGCATCAGGGCACATGTCTTCCCATCTTGGTAGAGAGTGAGACATGGACAGGAACCCCAGGGGCTCAGAGAGGACACCATGCAGGGGGAGCCAGGGTTAAGCTAGGACAGAGAGATGCAGGAAGAGTCACAGAAGCAGAGATGACAGGGAAGAGAAGAGGGGTCAAGAAAGAAAAGGCCGGGTCAGGGTTCTAGTTCCTAAACCCATGCTCTAGGGAGCCCCCCACTGCAGCCTCTTGACCTGTACATAACTTTCTTGCCCTGGGCACGAGGGAGGTCGTTCTGGAAAGAATGAAGGCTAGTGGGGTTGGCATGGGAAGGGATGAGGAAGGGGAGGGTCCATTCTCAGGACAGGGCTGACACTGGGGCCCACCCTTTTGGCCACCAGCCTGGGCTCTGGTTTCTTCCTTTCAAGACACAATTGGGGTCTCTTGGGTCCTCACAGGCCACCGTGGGCTCGGGCCTCACCCCAGTGGAAAGCCTAATGAAAGTCCTTCCTGCCCACAGAGCGCCAAGCCTCTCTTTATAGAACTGAAGCTGGTTCAGTGGAAATAGCTCTAGACATTGCTCAGGGACTCTCCTACCCAGGGAAGGTTCTGCCGCAGAGGAGAATGGGCACAGCTCTCCCAGTCCTGGCCAGAGCTCTCCGTACAAGCCCCTCCTTGGCTGGAGAAGTATAGCCAGGTGGGGGCCTCGGCACTCTGTTCTCCTAGACGTTTTGGACAAGGGTAAGTGGGGGAACCTTGGCAAGTGGAGACTCCCAGGGCAGTGAGAGCTGGCTGGCTGCTGCCTATCTGGCCAGGGGCCTCTTGAGAATCTACTTGCCGAAAAGGACAGTGACATTTGCAGTCACTACTGTGTTCCCAAGGAATTTATTAACAGGGACAGAATCAACCCAGAAGACAAGCTGCCACTGGGAGGAGACAGTGGGGACAGCCTGTTTAGGGACAAGGACGACCAAGCCTTTATCCAGGATCACTCCACCTGCCCTTCTCTCCTTCTGTGGAACTTGCTGCCTGATGATGTCAAGTGGAGAATGAATTCGCTCTTTTGGCTTCAGTGGGGAGAAAGACCCCTTCCAGCCCTGCCCTGTGGGGGAGGCAGATGCCGGCCGGGGCTGGGCTTCTCTCTCTTCATGTGCCTCTTTCCCTTCCCTGGCTCTGCTAGCTAGGCCTCTGGCACCCACCTCTCAGGGGACAGAGCRTGCTGCTGAGGCTGTCCTTGAGCATTGTGGGGAGGAGTGTCTTTCCCACTCTACCTCCCTCTGTGGGTTCCGAGGAGGACGTGTGGAGTCCCCTTGCTGTGGGGAGGAGGACTTTTAGCAGACTCACTTTTTTGGCCAACCCACCCTGGCTGATGAGGCGACCCTTCGCTTTTTTCAAAGGTCACACTGTTCTCCTTGGAGCTGGGGGTAGGGAGGTGGCGGTAGGAGGGAGGTGCGTGTGACTTCATTGGCAAGGCAGTGGGCGCTGGAGGCTGGGCGCCTGAATGAGGGATTGTGCGGCAGTCCAGGGCTCTCATCCAGGAAGCCTAGAGCACCCGAACTCCTAGAGCAGAAGTGGTGCCCCTGGCCTCAGGGCACAGAGAACGTCCCCAAGGTGCACATGAGTGGCACTCACCTGAGTAGGTCACCCCTGGCTCCTCAGTACCTCCCACTCAGCAATGGGGAGAGTGAGAAACCCAGGGAGAAACCCACTGAGCCCTCTTCCCGGATACACAGGTCCTCCTGGAAGGGCTTGCCTGGCTGCTGACTGTGTTCAGCTGCTGTAGACTCATTGGAGATGCTGCGGTGGCCACATAGGCCCCTGCAGCATCCAGGGGTGGGGCGCGCTCCCAGCAGCCTGGGCCACCCGAGGACTCACCTCTCCATGAAGAGGTGCTGCCCTGGTAGCCTGGCTCTGCCCCTTGCCTGTGTTCTAACCTGTAAGCTAAGGTTAGACCTGCTTCCTGGGTGAGCTGTGGGAATCACACGTGGTAAGATGTGTGCAGCACTTAGCTCTCTGCCTGGCAAAGGACAGCTGATTCCAGAGAATTCCAAGAAGGACCAAGGCGAGGCAGGATTATGAAGTAGGGGTGGGGCATATCAAGTGCCAAACTGGAGGTCAAGAGAACAGAGGCCCTTTCCTGGTTCCACCACCAATTTGCCCTTTGACCCCGGGCAAGGAAGGGCCTGAGTTTCCATGAACGCACCATGGCAGGGGCGCTTCCTCCTGGCCTCCTGAGGGACGCTGGGGTGGGGGGTGGCAGGGAGGGCGGGGCATTCTCCACTCTCCGCCACAGGCGGGACTTGAGAGAGACTGACTGGCTCGCCCTGTCTCTGTCTGCAGTAGAGTTTAGAAATCTAGATCCTGAGCACAGACACCGAAGCCATCTATTTGAGGGAACCCCTCCTCCTCTGGCCCCTGAAGCCTGGAGTGGCAGGCGAGTGAGTGAGGACAAGTGGCAGGAGAGAAATGAGCCTTCACCACCTTCTTGATGACCCAGTTTCCTCTGCACCCCTCTCCTCTCCAGGGACGTGGCCTTATCACGCTCCTTATTAGATGTCTGCCTGGGACCGTTAATGAGAAATGCTCCTGGAGCCAGCTGCAGGCGGTCGCCATGGGAACTGGTCCTTTCTATCTCCTCTCCTCCCTCCCTGTGTGTATGCACACACATGCACACCCAGGGCAGTGGGGGCCTTGTCCATCTTGCTTCTGGATCCAACTTAACAGTCCCCACTGGTCTTTGTCTTCCAGAGGTGCCACTCCTCTGGGGCAGCTGTTAATGGTGGTGTGGAGTTGGATGAGGGTCTACTTGGGGACATCTGAGGGGCTATGTTACTCTCCTAACTGTTCCCCAGGTGTCTGTCCACTGGAGAGAAAGTCCGTGTTGACATCATGCAGGTCCCATGTATTCCCTGATGCAGGGAACAGGGGTCTGAAGTGGTCTGCCCACACCTTAGCACTGGGATGCTACGATATCCCAGCAGAAGTGACAGAACTGTGGCAAGGATGGCTGCCAATCATAGGCCATCTACSAGCACAGCAACAGGTAGGTGGAGACATAGCTGTGGGATCAGCATTTAAAGCCCCTTACTTTATGGTTCTGATGGGCAGAGAGCACCCCCACCATGAGAAGCAGAACCATACCGATTTTACTTTGCAACATTACTTTGGCAAGGTTAGAAACAGAAGGAATCCCTGCCTGGCCCTCCCAAGGTAGCATTATCATGTGGCTTTATTTGAATGTCTCCTTTAGCCAGATAATTCCCCTCCCAACTGGCCCCCAGGGCATCTGTCCTCCCGACCACTCTAGCCAAGAGGGCCTGAGGGTTCTGCTGTGGATGTAAGGTGGTTAGTAAGGTAAGAAAGAGCCACCCACTACACTTGACCTTGGAAATGGCTTTTAAGGCAAGTCACTACCACAGAGGGCCACGGAGGTGAGCAGAGGGAAGAATTCCATGTGGCTGTGGGAATTCCAAACTCTACCACCTTGGGTTCCACTCAGCAGGCTTGGGGCTGCCCAAGCATCCACCTAGCCCCAGCCCTGAGACCAGCCTAGACCACCGAGCAAGAGCCCCAGTCGATTCTTTGAAGAGAAAGTCTGCTTTGAATCCCACAGTACGCTGCTACCTCTCCACAACCTTCGAAAGGACTTAACTCTCCCTGACCTTCCCTTCCCTCTCTCTCCTCTTCCCAAAACCAGGAGGAAACAAATAACAAGAGGCTGGAGCAGAACTCACGGTCCATAGGAATCTCGATGGTTCCGCCCAGACTGAGGAAGAAGAGGAGGAAGGCTGCGTGGACCCAGGGCGGCGGCTGCTGCCYGGCCATCCTCAGCACCAGGCCCCGCTCCCTGCTCCCCAGCCCTTGGGGTCTTGGTGCCTCGAGTGGCTCTAAGTGGGCCTCCCAGGCAGAGCTCAGCTGTGGAAAGAAAAAAAAAAAGAGAGAGCAAGTAAGTTTTTCTTGAAGTTGTGGTTTGCTGCTGTGATCCTACAGACCCTTGAAGGACTTGAGGGTCCCCTTGGTCATAGAGCAGGGGGTCCTAGAGCAGGCATTTGGAATCCAACAATTCTTGGTGAAGGGAAGTGTCCTGGGCACTGTAGGATGTTGAGCAGCATCCCTGGGCTCTGCTTGATGGATGCCAGGAGAGCCCACCTCTGCCACCAGGCAAAAATGTGTCTGCAGATACTGCAACTGTCCCAGGAGGGCAGAGCTACCCCCAACTGAGAACCATTGTTGTGGAAGGATCAATGCACAACTGCAGAGATCAATTATGGAAACAAACCAGGTCCACGGGTCCAGCATCCAGAAGATGCCAGGCACCGGACTATAAGAAACACACCAACCTCACGGCCTCMCTGCACCGTGTGCTCAGGGTGCCTGGGACTGTGTTTACAGTAAGGCACAGAGACAAGATCACAGTGATGACCTCTGACCCCAGTGAGGAGGCAGGGTGACACTGGCAGCACCAGGGGTTGCAGGTTAGATAGGTGAAAACCTGGTTGTCCAAAGGATRTGTTTTGTTTTTCTGTGCACCTTCTATTTTATTTTTTAAAACAATTTATCGTTCCATTGTAATTATACAAAATAGTAGGATTCATTATGCCATATTCGTATAGGCACATATTTTTTTTTGTGTGTGTGTGCCCAGGATTACACACAGGGGCGCTTAACCCCTGATCCATATCCCCAGCCCTTTTTTATATTTTATAGAGACAGGGTCTTACAAAGCTACTTAGGGCCTCATTAATTTGCTGAGGCTGGCTTTGAACTCTCAATTCTCCTACCTCAGCCTCCCAAGCTGCTGGGATTACAGGTGTGCACCACCGTGCCCAGCCTAGACACATAATTTGATCAGTCTCATTCCCTAGTTTCTTCCCTTCCTCTTCTCGCAATCCACTTGCTCTGCTCTACTGATCTCCCTTCTATTATTATTATTTTAATTAGTGCACTATAATTACATGTGCAGGCTTCACTGTGGTTTATTTGTACCCAGACATAGCATAATTTGGTAGATTTCATTCTCCAGTATTTCCTTATGTCCTCCCCTCTGCCTCCCTTTGGATTCTCCTCCTTTCAAGTGATCTGCCTTCTATTTTTTTTGAGACCCCCCCCTTTTAAAAAATCCTTTTTTACTGCTTCTTCTCAATGACTAGCTTTCACATACGAGGGAAAACATCTGACCCTTGACTTTCTAAATCTGGCTCATTTTACTTGGCACAGTGTTCTCTAGTTSTATCCGTTTACCAGCAAATGACATAATTTCATTTTTCTTTATGGTTGAGTAAAATTCCATAGTGTGGATATACTGTATTTTCTTTATCCATTCCTCTGCTGACAGGCACCTCGGCTGGTTCYATAACTTTGTTATTATGAATTGCACTGCTATAAACACTGGTGTATATCACTATAGTACTCTGATTTTTGTTCTTTTGGATAAATACCAAGGAGTGCATCAGTGCCTTCCAAAGTGGTTTCTTCAATTCACAGGCCCACCAACAATATATAAATGTCCCTTTCCCCCCAYATCCTCGCAGGCAATTACTCTTATTTATATTCCTGTTGATTGCCACTCTAGCCGGAGTGACATGAAGTCTCAGTGTAGTTTTGATTGGCAAAACTACCTTGATTACTAAGGACAGTGAACATTTTTTTCATATTTTTTTTGGCCATTTGATATTAATTCCCTGTCAGAAGAGTAGTTGGCAAAGACCTCCTATTCTGGAGACTCTCTTTTCACACCCTTAATTGTTTCCTTTGCTGTGCAGAAGTTTTTAATTTGATGCGATCTCACTTATTGATTCTCAGCTTTATTTCTTGAGCTGTAGGAGTCTTGTTAAGGAAGTTGATGAGAATGTGTTTGTTTTAAAACTTTTTTCCATATTTTACTGGTACATCGTAGTTGTATGTAATGATGGGATTTGTTGTTACATAGTCATATAATAAAAAAATATATTTGGCTAGCATCATTCCCCAGTAAAGAATGTGTTGTTTATTTTATTTATTTATTTGTATTTTTTTGGTACTAGGGGTGCTTAACCACTGAGCCACATCCCCAGCCCTTTTTATATTTTTATTTAGAGACAGGGTCTTACTAAGTTGCTGAGGCTGGCCTTTCCTCCTGCCTCAGCCTCTTGAGCCGCTGGTATTACAGGGGTGCACCACCGTGCCTGGCTTGATAATGTGTTTTCAATGAGCGATTTCTGTGGATATTTTGTGCAGCTAAGGTGTAGTGGTCCTTTAATATTGTACCTTTAAAGGTAATGAGACAGTGACCCAGAAGAAACAGGTTTTGTGTGATGAGTAGAATGAGCGACATTTACCAGAGCTCAGAGTTCACAAGCACAAGAAGTCACAGCAGAGCTTATGGGGTAAGGATTAAAAAAAACCACTGTCCTAGGAGCCGTTGAAGATCCTTAAGATACTCACCGTCCTTCCCCTCCTCCTGAGAGAAGCACAAGAAGGGTCTGCATCCTAGACGCGAGTACTGCACTGAGACTGCCTGAGGCTCTGCTGTGTGTCTTGAACATTGATCCAGCTTGCTGTTCTACCCCGGGGTCAAGTCAAAGGGGAAGGCAGGAGGGGGCATCTCCAGAACTCCTTCAGCTTCCTTGCCCATTAAATGGRCACCCAGTTCTTCTGCTCCTCTTTTATTTGCATCAACTTGACATGGACTGTCAACTGTATACACCCACCCAACCTAGGATCCTGATGGAGGAGGTAGAGGACGGGGCAGGGAAAGAGCTGGGGGGGTCAGGGGGCATCCTTCTGGAGACCCGGAAGAGGAAGCGGGTCACTGATCACTGAAACAGGATGAGATGCCCTCCTGTGCCTGGTTGTGGAGCAGGCTGAAGGACTCTGAGTCACAGTTTCTTTCCTGGGAGCTGAGCCCAGTTCCAGCTCCCAAGCTCTGTGTATCTGTGGGCTCCCTCCAAGAGCCCCCCTTCACACTGCTATCTCTTTGGTTTTGAGCATCATCATTTCATGCCAGAGTTTCTGCAAGAGCTTCCTAAGTGGTCTTCCTGCTTCTGCCCTTGCTCTGGACCCCTTCTCCACCCATGACCAGAACCGTTCTTTCTAAAGTGCAAGTTAAACACTCTACTTCCCTCGTCCACCTCTCAATAGCTCAGGCTGCCTGAAAGTTAACACCGATTTCCTTGATAGGCACAGAGACCCCGCACCACATGTCCCCTCTGTCTCCTCTCATCACCCTCCCCTGCTTGGCTCTGTGGGAACACCATGCTCTGTCTTGACCACTGACTTCTGTACAGATTAACCTTGTCCTGACACTCACTGAGYCTGTCCTTTCTTAGGATCTGTCAAGTGTAACATATATGTCCCTCCTCTGTGCTCCCATACCCCCTCTAGCCCCTGCATTCAGACACTTTTCACTTTGTATTCACTCAGAAAATCACTTGTCTGTCTCCCCTATAAAAGTGAACCTTCTATAAGGGAAGGTGCCCTGTCTGGTTTATTGTTCTATTCCTAGGATGGATCACAGATCCAAAGATAGAGAAGGACCTCAAAAATAGTGGATATAGCTGGGTACAGTGGCACATGCCTGTAATCCCAGCGGCTGGGGAGGCTGAGGCAGGAAGGTTGAGAGTTCAAACCAGCCTCAGCAATGGTGAGGCGCTAAGCAACTCCGTGAGACATGTCTCTAAATAAAATACAAAATAGGGTTGGGGATGTGGTTCCACGGTTGAGTGCCCCTGAGTTCAATCCCTGGTACCCTCCTCAAAATAATAGGTATAAGGAAGCATAAAAAATTGAACAAATGAATGATTGAATGAAATAAGGAATCACTTCAATGTTGTTTTTTTTTTTTTTTAACTTCATCTTTCCCTAGAAAACCACCAGGAGGAGCAAGAGAGCACATACGGTGGACCTGGGGGCATCCTGTGAGGGCTACCWGGTGGTGGAGGAGAAACCCCCTCTCTACAGGTAAGATGATGCATCTGGCCAGGGAAACAACAGGTTGGAAGAGGGATAAGAGAGTAGAATGGGRGTCATGGTTCTTCCTCTAAGCTATCTAAGATGGTCCTCACACTGTCCCCCAGGGGCCCACTGATGCCTCTCCTTGGCCCACACATCTCCAACCAGAACCAGACTCCCCAGTGAGGGAGCCTGCACTAGGGGAAGGCTCAGCCTTCCTTCTGAGGGTTTGGTGGGGATGGCTCCAGGTTTGGCTTCAGGACCACCACGTTYTGCTCCAGACTGGCCAAGCAGTTAGGAAGTGATGGGAAAGGGAGGATATGTTATTCTGGGCCTCTTGATGGAACTAGGAAGCCAGAATCTATTCATTACCCAGAAACACACTGGCAAGTGCCCCAGTTGTTTGGGACATTTTGAACTTACAATCTAGCAACACAGTACAGTAGGGAAAGATCATCGAGATGATCATTCTTAACTGCCTAAGGATCCTCTTCTCCTTTCTCTGGAACTTGATTTTCTTAACCATATCTTAAAAGAGGAAGAGAATTAAAAAATTCACTAGTTTCACACTATGCCCGTACTTTTCAGATGAGGAAGCAAGAGCCTGGAARGGGGAAGTGACTTGCTGAAGATCACTCGACTGGTGAGGCTGGGAAGAGAACCCAGAGGGGCTGGACTCCTAGCCCAGTCCACCCAGTTTTCATATATATATATCTWTTTTGATATACTGGAAAGCCTAGAATGGAGTTGCTATTTTAAAAAGAAATGTACAGGCAGTTCCTCAAAATGTCAAACATAAAATTGCCACATGTACCTGACATTCAATTCCTAAGTACGTGTTCAGAAGGATTAAAACCAGTACAYGTGCACACCTGTCCCCAGCAGCCTCTTTCACAACAGCCAACAGATGGAAACGGCCCAGATGTCTAGCAGCAGACGAATGCAGACTTCAGGATAAACCTWTGTGGCATATTATTCAGCAATGG